GAGAGAGGAGAGATGGAGCAAGGAGCACGTGCCCCTGACCAAGACCTGCCCTGGAGCAGCCCCTCAGTGGCAATGCAGACCCAGAGATACTACCGGAGTCAGGTAACTACAGGAGCCTAGGAGCAGGCTGCGGACTCAGAGGTGACTCCTGGGGGGGCACATGCCCCCCCCCAGGCTTCTGCCTGGGTTTATATAATAAATTTTTTTGCAGGGAGTGGGTTCAAAATTGTGCCGTTCCCCACTATCAACCGTTATCTGTCGCCTCTGCTAACCCAGATGAGGCCACATTTTTACTGGCAGCTGCGACTAACGCCTTCTGCCCCCATGCCTCAGTGACAGGCTGATCATCACATGGACTTCTATGGGCACAGCACGGGTACAAGTTAGAGGTGTGGAGCAGGCATTTTGGTAGTTACAGGTATCATATCCTGGGTGGATAAAAAAATCAATGATTTTAAAAAAAATTTAAACTGGATTGTTTTCATTTAAGTTAAATGCAGATTTATTTAAAAAGACAAATCTATTAAAAATTAAATCTGAAATTGACAACTATGTTAGGGCATAAACGACATAATCTACTAAAATAATTTTAAATTAAATACAGAAAATAAGCAGTACAGGTTTGCTGCCAAATTTTAAAGAAAGTCAAACCACCGAAGTGGTGGAAGTCACTTGGCAAAGCACCTGGCAGATTGGGGAAGGGCTAAATTCACTCTTGCCAGCAGTCACCTCTTCTGCAGGTGCAGAGAGCAAATTTTCCTCATTTCAGTTTATTCAACTACTTCAGTCCAATGATTAGTTTCTTCAAAGTTAAGAAATTTATTAGGAGCTGGAAAAGCAGGAAAGCTTGTTTTCCTCTCCCAATCTATGAATGAAAACTAGATGTGATAGGGTGAGATCTACTAGTTCTAAAATCTTGAAGGACACAGCGACCAGAACTAATCAGTTCAATTGATTAACTACAGATAATACTTCCTATGATTAATAAATCAGTTAGTTTTAAATGCAAAATATATTTTGATAAACTTTTTCTGATGCATTCAGCCCATTTAAGGTAGTTTATTTAATGAAAGAAAAAAGCTGTTTTTGTTAATTTTTAATGGAATTTGAATTTTCGTCCAAATAGTTTTTACTTGTAATTTGCATCAAGCTCTAATTATCTGGTAAGTAAGAATTACACTGTTCACCATTTTCGAACATAATATGAAATATAAAAATTACATTTATTCAGAGTAAGTTAACCTATACAAATGCTTTAAAAAAATGTGTACAGATATAGCATGTCCTCCTGCTTAGCAAAAAGAAGCACCAAATGTAGTGTAAAGACACTATTTAGTTACAAACCAACATGCTTTAATGGCTACTAAACAATGAGAAACAGCCTCTCTTTAGGAAAATAATTAAAAAGTACAAATGCAAAACATAATTAAAATCAATTACACCTCTACCCCGATATAACGCGTCCCGATATAACACGAATTCGGATATAACATGGTAAAGCAGCGCTCCGGAGGGGCGGGGCCGCACATTCCAGCGGATCAAAGCAAGGTTGATATAACGCGGTTTCACCTATAACGCGGTAAGATTTTTTGGCTCCTGAGGACAGCGTTATATCGGGGTAGAGGTGTATTTTTTTAAAAAAGGTTTCCCGTTTGCTGATTTAAATCATGATTAAAATCTGATTTAAATCGCTTTGATATAAATCAATCCACCCTGATTGCATTCCTCTGTAAACTCTGGTCCAGGCCTCTCCTTTGGTCTTCCTCTTTCACTTCACTTTTTCCTTCTTCTGTTCATTTTAAGGGACAGATTTTGAAATAGGTGAGTGAAGTGAGCATGTGGAAATGTGTCCCCATGCAGAGCCCTACATCTCTGCATGTAAATATTTTGTTGTTTGTAGCACAATCCACAAATTACCCTTAAGGAAAACTAGGTTATGAACTAAAGCCCCTTTACTTCAGTATTGGAGCATTCACACCGGGGATTAATGCAGTCTAACTTATGCACATTAATGTTGCAGCGTTAGTTGATTTCCCCTTAATTTTCCTGAGTGTTCCCATGCAGATGAGTTGTGTTACTACCTGAGTGCTGCCCTCACCCACTGGAGACTGACTCTATCTGTAGTCCCCCACCCACCAGGCTCCTCCTTTAGAGCAGCCCCAAAAGCAATAACCGTTTTCTCTTTCAGGTTATCAACATCAACTCCAGTTCAGGAAACACAACCACCCATGGAATGAATTTCCAATCTTGCCGATCACCATCGTGACTCCAGCAGGTAAATTCCAGCTCTCGGTTCTCCAGTCTCTGTGCTGCTCATCCTCTCTGACTCTGTCAGTTGCACATTTTCTGCTTCCCCCATCTCACTAGGCTCTGCAATGGCTTTAAACAGGACACTACATCCAGCTCCCCAGGCATCTTCTACTCCTTATTGTAACATGGGACTCCTTAGTCATAAATCTGGGTTAATGGGCAGAATTTAGTCCCCGCCATCAGCATTTTGGGCGGGGGCTGCTGGGCACTTGTTAGGAGCATTTAATAGCTGTCTGGGAGGACCAAAAATTAGTTCTTGTGGTTACTGGAATGTGAATATTGCAGTGATCTGTGATGAGTGTTGGATCCAAACACCTACTGGTGCAGGGTTCCTTCCAGAGCAGGTGACAGTAGATGGGGCATAGCAGTGAAGTTGGGGAAGCAAACGCAGTCAGAGGCTCCCAGAAATGAAAGGCTTCTTTTGATGCCATCAGAGTGCCCCTTTCTTTCCAGTAGCTTGGACAAGGGCCCAGCTGGGCTGCTAGACTTTTCTCTCTGGGACCTGCACATCAGATTTCAAATGTTCTGTAGCTAATACATAATTTTACCATTGCCAGTTGTAACTGCTCCCGAGAGCTCCTCGAAGGCAGTACAGAAAATAGCT